AGAGTTTGACCCTGCTCAGTGCTGAAGCTGATCTTCAAGACGATGGCTTCACTGAAAGATTCAAGTTTGACTCCACTCCTGCACGGAATGTTGTCCTACGAAGAACTCCATCTCTTGAAGACTCTGACTATTCTTCCTCCGCGGCAACTGTCAATGCCAATGTGATCGATGATGAAGACGATGCTACTTCACCGCCCCCTACTTCTGCACGCATCAACACTGCACCAAGTTCGTCTGCACTGCCAAACGACAACGACAACCCTGATGCTTCAACTACTCCTCATGAGGACGAGTAGATGCTCTATGTCTTCAAACCTTTTTGGTCATTACTGACAAAAGGGGGAGAAGCGTATGAGTTTGATAGTCTTCAAGCGGGTTCATAAGGGCGGTTGCTTTATATTTTGCCTAGTGTTCACAACTCTTGCTTTTGATACATTTCGTTCCTTGAGTTGTAACACTTAAACTTGATGGTCGTCTGCTACTTATTTGTGTTTCCACGTGCGATGATAACTTCCGCACTTAGATCATTCTGCAGACGTCCATTTTTCATTATGCATGTCATTCTCTTAGCTATATCATTTCATGCATGATGAATTATCTTCATAAGTTGAAGAGGATCTCCACAAGTACAACCTGCCATGTGCATTTGCATTCCAAAAGCAAATTATTTATATGCACAACTTCAGGGGGAGCCCTTGCCACTTATGAAGACAATACGCTATCCTTTACAATTTCACATACTTCCTTCCCGTTGAAAACTTCAACCAGTTTATCATCAATCACCAAAAAGGGGGAGATTGTAAGTGCATCTAGTGCCACCCCTAGTTGGTTTTGGAGTATTGACGACAAAGTTGGTTGAGGGACTAATGCATTTGTGAGAATTGCAGGATAACGCAAGTAGTGTCCCTCATTGATTCGGTTTACCTACCGGAGATGACCCCTAAAAATGTATGAAGACATTGAAGACAATGGTGGTGTGTGAAGATATTCACACTGAAGTCTATGACATGAGAAGACATTGAGTGAAGACTATGGAGCGCGAAGACTGAGTTGTTTTGTGGTTTCCTTTTCTTCTTTGTTGAGTCATAGGAACCACCGTACTGTTAAGTGGGGTCCAAGTGAACTAAGTCAGAGTGACTGAAGTGATGCTCAACCCAAATCCTATGTCTTTGAGCAAAGACAATGAGAGCAAATCTTATCCAGAGCTGGATGAGTCAGCTTTGCTTGTAGCCCAAGTAAAGTTGCCGTGTGTGTTTGAAATCTGACCGCTGGAACACGTGTCAGTTCCTTAGTGACCCAGGGTCATTTCGGACATATCAGGTCGGGTTGCCTTGTGGCTATAAATAGCCTACCCACTTTACCATAAATTGGTGGCTGCTCAGAGTTAGTTTGCGGCTTTTGTCGTTTTGAGAGCAACCCACCTCGAAGCCTTTGAGAGAGAAATCCTTGCGAGGACAAAGCCCAAACACCCAGAGCCAAAGAGTGTTAGGCATCACTGAAGTCTTTCTGTCTGTGTGACTTGAAGACTTATTACACTTGAGGACTGTGTATTCTCCAGCCGGTTAGGCGTCGTGTTCTGAGCATCCAATAGTCATTGTGGATTGCCGGTGAACGAAGTCTGTGAAGGTTCGGAAGTCTACCTTGAAGACTTACCAGAGTGATTGGGCGAGGACTGTGTGTCCTTATCTCAAGGGGAATAAGGTGAAGATGCGGTCTTCTGAGTTGAATCTTAGCCTCCCTAACCAGGTGTACAGTTGTCACAGCAACTGGAACTGGTCCAACAAATCCTGTGTCTTCAACAAGTGACTGGTTCTATCCCTTCCCTCCTTTACCTGAGTTTGTCTTCGTGAAGTCATTGCTTATCTGTCTTATCTGTTTGACTTCATTGCTTGACTACTACTGTTGATTGGCTTCATACTATCTTCCATCCTGATCCTTACTACCTAGCTGCTATTAGTCTTCGTACGTTAATACTATTGCATACTTGACTATGGCTTGCATGTTGTAGTTTATCTTCCGCTGCATATCAATTAGGTCATTTCTATTGTTTGTCTTTGAAACTTCCACGTTTTGAAGACTTTGATAAAAATTGCCTATTCACCCCCCCTCTAGTCGATAACTAGCACTTTCAATCTTCCTCTTCTACCGTTCCTTCAGTTACTTGTCCAACACCCCAACCTACTAGTATTGGGATTCCTGGGCTAACCAAATAATCAGTGTAGTTGCATTCCCCCACATCAACAACTTCCCAGAAATACAAATCACACGAATTTTCCCTTTTCTGCACGAATCAAATTGGAAGATCATCAACCAAACTATTAAAAAAATCAGCAACTGAAAGCAGCAGAACAACAGATAAACATATTATTACCCCATGATTCGGGCATTTGTAGAAGACTCGGCCAGGGTTCAGGATTGTGGTTGAGACGCGACGGATGACTCTGCGTGATTTGCAACAGTGGCACCATACCAACGGCAACGGGTTGTGATGAGAAATCGGCTGCAGTGCACGTGCCGGCGGGGGTTTGATGAGACCCACAAGTGATGGTACGGGTGGTGACTTGGCGCATATCTGATTGTTGCCTGCTGAGGAGCAGGTGGACGAGCAGCCAGCGGACATGGGTGCTGCGGCCAGAGCTTCTGATGCTAGGCAGAGTAAGTAGAGAAGAGGAGAAGCGAACGTTGGATATGTGAGTTTCATTACTTGCAGAGTAGAATAGCACCATATATAGTCATAGTCTAGGTTTGGATTTGAACCAGCTACAGGAGCACGTCTCTCTTTTTTCTAAAACTCGGCAACGTGTCTTTACTGGTACACTAGCTTGTTCTGTATGCCTTCCCAAGTCTCTGATTTTCTTTCCCTTTTTTGCAAGGAAGGAAGGAGGACAAAATTGAGAGTTCCTGGTACTCGAACCCAAGACCTCTCAGTTGAAAACCAAGGGTGCTAGTCACTTATTTGGAGAACGTTCCCTGGGAGGAGGACGGCAGACGAACACATTTTCCTCGCAGTTTTAGTTGTGACACAAGATTGAACGGTCGCAGTTTCAGGAATGTTATCAGGCCAACGAGCCCAATTTTTCTTTTCTTCCTATATATAAAAAAGTATGCTACTTGGTGTCGGCTTAGTCAACAAACGATTATGCCAACCTTGACCGTTGGACTGACATTCAACGTCTGTCGTGTTTCTTCAGTCTCTTCTTCCTCGAGCCACCAAAGCCAAACCAGCACCGGCGGGACCGCCTGCTCCCGCCTCCCACGGCTGGTCGTGCTGCCGCGCACTCATCGTGGCCACATCGCACCCAAAAACTATGCGCATCTTCCCCGGCTCCTGTTCGTTCCTGTCTGAGGCCTCACCATCGTCCTCCGCCTTGGTTCGCTCGCCGCGGCGCCGCCCTCAGGTGTTGTCAACATGGTCAACAACCGAGAGGAATAAGGAGATGAATGTACATGGTGAGGATGATAGTAGGGACCCAGCAGTGCGCGCAGTAATCTTCTTTTTTCCGGACGGAGAAGGGTATCAACTGGGTTGTGCGGGACCCATAGCCCTTCTAGCCCATGCTTTTATTTCATATGTTTAGCACATGACCAGCCCAGTTTGTTCTTTTCCTTTCTGAAAATGGCTAGCCAGCTATTTTGTTTTTTGCAGAATAACCAACGTAGGCCTACTTGCTTTTCTACGCCCTGCTGGGCCGGAAATCTTTCAAGACGAGGAGGGATGCATTTTGCCCAGAAAATGGGCTATAAGTAATAAGAAATGGGCTATAAGTAATAAAAATGGGCTGTAAAATGAAAAAATACAACAAACAGGCAATTAGTTCCAAAATACTGTTTTCTTTCGGATTTTGATATTTTAAATTTCATTGTTTTTGTGCGGGTAAAATTTTATTGAATTTAAATTAAGGTATATTTAGATTTAAAATTAATTTGAATCTGTCTAGAAATTTCGGGCTGTATGCTGTTTGGGACAGATTTGGAGGCTCACTTGTGGGTCTACTAGGTTGACGTGTACTTTGGCTTTGTCAACTTAGTCAACAAACGATTCTAGCAGTAGTGACCATTGGATGTTAATCCAATGGTCATGCCGCTTCTTCAATATTAGATCTTCTTGCTCCAGCCGCCCAAACCAGCGCCGGTGGGATTGCCTACTCTCGCCTCCCGTGGCCGGCTGTGCTGCCGCACATGCCACATCGCCCCACCTTACTTCATTGCTGGCCAGGCCATTCCTCTACTCACCCACACCTCCTGTTATTTTTCGGCGACGGCAGCCCGACCAGTAAACCCTCGTACTCCCCACCGCGTGGGAAACCATTGCCAAGTCTTCCCCGGCTCCGTGTCGTTCCCTTCCTAGGCCTCGCCGTCGTCCACCGCCATGGTGCTCTCGGCGCAGCCTGGTCAACGTGGTCAACGAACGACATCCATCGGACGTGGACTGTATGTGGAGAGGCTGACAGCTGGGTGCACGACCGCACACAAGGAAATGCCTCCTTATTATGCGCAAAATAATGATTCCTCCACCTGACAGCTGGGACCCACTAGAAGGGCCTCTGTATTTCGTGAAAAAAATGTTCCCCCCGCTGACAGGTCGGACCCACCAGCTATATCCACTACAAGAAACATGTTAATACGTGACGGATTTCTCATGACGTCTTGAGAATCCGTGATGAACCAGTCTAGTACAACGAGCAAGCCCGCTGAAGCCCGTCGAAGCCCACCTTACCCATTCCCCGTATAAAACCTAACCCTAGGTCTCTCCCTGCCCCCATCTCTTTGTCCCTCCGCCGCCGCCCATCATCTTCTCCCTTCTCCCCGATCCCCTCGTCCCCCACCCACCTCATCCCCCTGCATCCCCACTGCTCCGATAGTGTCTCCTTCCTCCACCCCGTCACGACCTCCACGGCTGCGTAATCTTTCATCCCCGGCCTCTCGGGTTGCTGCTGCAAATCTGGCTCACGCAGATCGGAGCTCAACCCTGACGTAGGCCTCGTCCGACCGGGGTGACCATGGGTTGGCTGGTCTACCACAATTTCTCGCTGGAGGCCGCAGTATGCCCTAGTTGCCACTGGTTAGTGTTGTTGCTCCTGCGTCCTGTGCTAGTAGTTGTACCAGCTGTTCGTGGGCAGGTTGGAAGGGTAAGGCTGGTGCGTGGCCTCCCTCTTCACTCAATTTCCTAAGCGTGACTACTACCTTCTCCAACTCGCAGGGTGTGTTGTATGTGCGTGCTGACATAGAGGAGGCAGTGCCAGAGGGCTTCAGCGTGTCTACGAGTGAGATGTGCGTGCATGCAGGAACTGGTGTGTTGTGTGTGCGTGCTTCCTCTTTGAATCATTTAGCACTGATTTTTCTTTGTATCTTGTACACTGCAGGGTATCAAGTAGAGATAAACCGCACATGTTTGTCAACCGGCTGCACATGTGACGTTCTATCAAGATCTAATTCAGTCAGTTCTCTACCAAATCTAATTCAGTTTATATTTTTCTAACAGCTTGATGTACCTCTGTTCTCTAAATCAATCAATATAATCAAGTGTTCAATATGCATTGAGTTTATTTTCCATCAAAATACCGGTCCAGCGAAACAATGTAACCAAATGTGGTGAATAAATTCATCAAATAGGTCTTGGAGACATGATTTCTGTTAATGTATTAATGCGACGCCATGTTCTGTTTAGTGTTTTCTGCATAGGCATTTCTTTTTTGTCCTTGTTGTCTCCTGTAGCTCGGTGAATATATATACCAGAATTAGTTTAATCTATATCTAAGAAGAAAATTACATTATCTGTGGTATGAACTTCATTACTGCCTCGATGTCTTGTTCGAACCTGACTTTGTAATAGAGTTGTATAAATAATCATTCCATTTTCCCTTCTTCCATGGGTTTGCAAGATACTAGTTTAATTTATGCTGAGTTTTTTTCCTTATTACAGCAGAGGTGATGGATCAGTACTATTGTATTTTCGAAAATGCATGTGCATAGATTGATAACAGATCATGTACCCTTTTAACCTTTCATACCATTATATAGTTTACTGATTTTAGAATATCCAGGTTAAACGGTGTTGCTTTCACCTGAACTTATGTTGCCAACGAACAACTTTATGCTGTGATTTTGATTAGTAGTGTAGTACTTATGTTACCTGATATGACGAGGAACCAGTATATGGGATGTATATCCCATTTCAAAATGATCTATTAATCTGCTAATAATTGCTTTTTCTAATGTAATTCATTGTTGTAATTTTCAGGGCCGCCCAAAAGTTGTCACCCCCAAGTTCAGCTTGAAGCCTCTTGTTCCACGCCAGTCGAGCTCCTTGGACTTGAAGTATGTTATGGGATGATAGAATCTTGCAATTCCATTGTCTTTCTGGATTAGATTAACATCACTTATATTTGTACATTGTTTATGTCTCTGAAATAGGTTGTGATGGCCCCTGACTGCATTGGTGAAGAAGCTGAAAAATTGGCTGCTGCTTTGCCAGATGGCGGTGTTCTACTCCTGGAGAATGTTAGATTCTACAAGGAGGAAGAGAAGAACTATCCTGAGTTTGCTAAGAAGCTTGCATCAGTTGCTGACCTTTACGTAAATGATGCTTTTGGCACTGCACATACGGCTCATGCTTCAACCGAGGGTGTAACCAAGTTTTTGAGGCCTTCTGTTGCTGGCTTCCTCATGCAGAAGGTATGGTATAGCTGAAACAAATCTCATTCTTGTACATTATTTGCTTAAAATCTTAAAACATTGAAAAAACATTGAAAAAGAAAAAAGTATCATTTGCTACATATGAGATGGCATGATTTAGAAGAGCAAGCCTGTACATGGATCCTTCACTTTTCTTTAAGATTACTAATAGATGGTATATTATTTTTGTTTATGATTTAGGATTGTTTGAGATGCTACAAGTGCATTTGTTCAGTCTCAAAATTTCAATATTATTACTAGCATATTCTCTATCAATGGTGTGCTACATTAAACTAAAAATGTTATGTGTACAACCAGAACTAAAGGAAAAGATATAGGTATTTCCCTTGAATTATTTACTTTATACAGTTTCATGTGAGCGCTCTTTATAGAAAGCAACTCAGGTTCATTTAAAAAATCATGTTAATATATTTTTTGCATATCATTAACAATGTTTACATTGTAAAATGATACTAGTTTAGTCGGTTCATTGTCATGTAACCTTTTTTATAATACTTTTCCTTTTATTCATTTTATTGTAAAGACAATAATAAGGAAGTGTGATGTATAAAATTTCATGTGCCAGTGTTACAACATCAAATTTTCAAACAAATTAGGCTCAAAGTCTAGAGACAGTAGGTTTCATAATTTATTGTCCCCAAGTAAAGTTTGACTATGGAAAATATGTACTTGAATTAGGAGGGATAGAAAAGCATGCTAATAATACATTTCATGGTACCTTAATATAGTAGTGGTGTCTAATAAGATGATTAATTGGAAAATCAACCAATGTAATTACTCTAGATTCATTTGGGAGTTGGTTGTTATAACTTATTATAATTATAATTTTGTATTTTTTTGGATTCTATGCAGGTTTGGCAGCTAGTGCGTTATTGGAGATTGAAGTTTTCTAGCAGGAACTACTTTCGCCCGTATAACTGCCCGAAAGCGGTGGCTTAGTGTTGGAGATTAAAATCAGCTAGTATGACATTTTTTCATGGAAGTCATGTGGCTTATAGAGCAGGGCATTTTCTCATGGAAGTCATGTGGCTTATAGAGCTTTCTAGATATACTTGTGAATTTTTCCTATAAAGCTCTGGTTTTGAAATCAGACTAGATGTTGGAACTATGTATTGTCATGTGAATAGATGCTATTTTTGAATGAATATCGTTGGTTGTCATGTTGTAAAGAGTGCTGCATCGAGAAGACATGATGTACTAGAAAAGGGGCTAATGGGTTGGACTAAAAAACAAGTTGTATAATGCGCACGACCAAAATCCAAATTGGGTTGCTTACCACATCAGCCACGTTGGCCTCCATGTCAGAACCATGTAGATGCCAGGTTGCTTCCACGTCATGTAAATCGGTGACGGTTTGCTCTGTCATAGCCGAGTTCGGGCTTAGCGGGCGTGGGGCAAATCCATGACGGACAAGAACTGTCATGGAAGGTACGATGTCAAATTATGACGCAATATACATGACGGATTTCAGATCCGTCATGGACGGCCACACATGACAATTTTGGGCTTATCAGTGACGGACAAGGACCGTCATGTATTAACAAATTTCTTGTAGTGATCTTCGCACGCAAGGAAGTGCCTCCTTATTACGCACAAAAAATGAATACCCCCTGCTAGCTGGCACCCACCATAGTGGGAGGATGACTTGTGGGCCAACTAAGTTGATGGGGACAGAGGGCTTTGTCAACTTAGTCAATATGAACGATTCTAGCTCCAGTGGCCGTATGATGTCCATCCAACGGCCGTAGTGCTTCTTCAACCTCTGTTCTTCTTGCTCCAGCCGCCCAAACCAGTGTCGGTCGTGCCGTGTGCTCCTGCCTCCCGTGGCCGGTTGTGATGCCGTGGAGGCCTCACCTCCCCCTACTACTCCCACCGCTGGTTAGGCCATCCCTCTACCCACCCACACCCCCTGTTATTCTGTGGCGACGACAGCCTCACACCGCAGCCAAATCAGTGAACCCTCGTACTCCTCTCTGCGTGGGCTTCCACTGCCTCGTCTTTCCCGGCTCTGTGTCGTCCCCTTCCTAGGCCTCACTGTCGTCCACCGCCATGGTGCTCTCGGCGCGGCGTGGTTAGCGTGGTCAAGGAACAACTTCCATCGGACGTGGAATCTACGTGGAGAGGCTGACAGCTGGGTCCACGACCATAGCAAGGAAGTGCCTCCTTATTACGCAGAAAATAATGATTCCTCCACCTGATAGCTGGGACCCACCGGATGGGCCACTGTATTTCATGAAAAAAATGTTTCCCCCCTGACTGCTGGGACCCACCAGCTACATCTTCGCATGCAAGGAAGTGCATCCGGGCAAAAAAAATATTCGTCCCCCTGAGTGCTGGGACCTACCAGCTACATCTTCGCACGCAAGGAAGTGCCTGACAGTCAGGACCCACCTGATGAAAGCGTACGTAGCGTTGTCATTCTAGTCCTGAACATGTACGTACATACTAGTGGATGTAGATGCGTGCACGTGTCGTAGTAGAGGCGCGCACGTAGCATGTACACGTACGTACAATGGCCAGTGTGCAAGAAAGAAAATACGGCCACGTACGTACATACGAGCGGGGTCTCGAATGCCTACTCGCGCATACGTACGGCCAGGGCTTGTGTACATGGTTGGGTCGGAACAGAGAAACTGCGTCGTCATCGTGTTCATGGGGAGGCAACGAAATGCATCGTGTTCATGGGGAGGCAACGGAATGCGTCGTGTTCATCGGGAGGCAGCAGAACACGTGGGAGCCAACCGGCTTGGACAAAACATGCGATGGGAACGAGGCTGGCGTACCACAGAACGAAGGAAACTGCCTTGTGTTCGACCGGCCACGTTCGAAACGGGACCCTGTTCATCGGGAGGGGTCTAGCGTACCCCAAAACGGAGGAAACAAACTTGTGTTGGACCTCCTATGGTCGAAACGGGGTCCTGTTGATCGGGAGGGGTGTGGTGTACCGCAAAGCGAACGAAACGGACTTGTGTTGGAGTGCCACGGTCGAAACGGGTGTCCTGTTCATCGGGAGGGGTGTGGCGTACCGCAAAACGGGACCCCACAGGATATTTTTCATCTCCACCGTCGACCTCCTCCAGTCTCCACGGGCTACTGTTCATCCACTGTCGACCTCCTCCAGCCTCCACCTGCGACTGTTCATCCACGGGATCCTGTTCATCCAGCCTCCACCGCGTGCTACTCCACCGGCTACTGTTCAACCACCCCTCTCCATGGGCTCCTGTTCAACCACCCCTCTACGGGCTACTTTTCATCCACCCCTCCACCGTCTACTGTTCATCCAGCCCTCCACGGGGTCGTCCTATTCATCCAGCCCTCCACGGGGTCCTGTTTATCCAGCCCCAACCGGCTCGATCGATCGGGGTCCTATTCATCCAGAGGCAACACCACGGGGTCCTGTTCATCCACCCCCACCGCTCACTATTCATCCACCCCCCCCAACGCTCATTGTTCATCCGAAGGTAGCATCGATTGGCTTCAGTTAGCAGTAGTAGCGAAGGAATCGCTCAATCGGGTTCAGTTAACAGCCATCGATTGATCGCTCGGGTTCAGTAACGCGTAGCCTACAGTGCAATCGCTCAGGTTCAGTTAGACCCCAATGCCTCGCTCGGGTTCAGTTAGAGCCAACGCCTCGCACACATGCGCGTATGTGTACAAGAGAAACGCGCATCGCTCGGCTCCCGACCACCCACCATAACCGAGAACTCCCCGAAATTTTCCTCGCCCTCGCTTCTATCACGGTTTTTTCCATCATGTACGGCCCAAAGAATGTCATGCAGCTGCGTCTCTAGCCCACCCAGGACGAAAAACCCATTTTCTGTCATGATTTTTTGTCATAGAAGTAGGAGCCCACCACATCTATGATGATACCGAGTTTTGTCACAATTATCATCATAGAACTGTCATAAGTATGACAGAAAGAAATTTCGTTTGGCCCAAAATGTCACGGATGTGTCTTTTTTGTAGTGAATGCATCTGTCTCTAATGCAAAGCCCCAAAACAATAGTGGTAAATCGGTAAGAGACATCATAGATCGCACCATATCTAATGAAGTACGGTTACGACATTCGGACACACCATTACGTTGTGGTGTTCTAGGTGGCGTGAGTTGTGAAACTATTACACATTGTTTTAAACGAAGTCCAAACTCGTAACTCAAATATTCGCCTCCGCGATCATATCGTAGAAACTTTATTTTCTTGTTATGATGATTCTCCACTTCACTCTAAAATTCTTTGAACCTTTCAAATGTTTCGGACTTGTGTTTCATCAAGTAGATATACCCATATCTGCCCAAATCATCTGTGAAGGTCAGAAGAAACGATGCCCACCGCGAGCCTCAACACTCATCGGACCGCATACATCGGTCTGTATTATTTCCACTAAGTCAGTGGCTCGCTCCATTGTTCCGAAGAACGGAGTCTTAGTCATCTTGCCCATGAGGCATGGTTCGCAAGTATCAAATGATTCATAATCAAGTGATTCCAAAAGTCCATTCGCATGGAGTTTCTTCATGCGCTTTACACCAATATGACCTAAACGGCGGTGCTACAAATATGTTGCACTATCATTATTAACTTTGCATCTTTTGGCATCAATATTATGAATATGTGTATAACCACGATCGAGATTCAACAAACCATTCACATTGGGTGTATGACCATTGAAGGTTTTATTCATGTAAACAGAATAAAAATTATTCTCTGACTTAAATGAATAACCATATTGCAATAAACATGATCCAATCATATTCATGCTCAACACAAACACCAAATAACATTTATTTAGGTTCAACACTAATCCTAACGGTAGAGGGAGTATGCGATGGTGATCTTATCAACCTTGGAATCACTTCCAACACACATTGTTACCTCGCCCTCAACTAGTCTCTGTTCATTTTGTAACTCCTGTTTCGAGTTACTAATCTTAGCAACTGAACCAGTATCGAATACATAGGGGTTACTATGAACACTAGTAAAGTACACATTAATATCATGTATATCAAATATACCTTTGTTTACTTTGCCATCCTTCTTATCCGCCAAATACTTGGGGCAGTTCTATTCTCAGTGACCAGTCCCTTTGTAGTAGAAGCACTCAGTTTCAGGCTTGGTCCAGCTTTGGGCTTTTTCCCGGGAGTGACAACTTGCTTGCCATTCTTCTTGAAGTTCCTTTTCTTTCCCTTTGCCCTTTTTCTTGAAACTAGTGGTCTTGTAAACCATCAACACTTGATGCTCTTTCTTGATTTCTACCTTCACCGTTTTTAGCATCACGAAGAGCTCGGGAATCGTTTTTGTTATCCATTGCATATTATAGTTCATCACGAAGTTCTAGTAACTTGGTGATAGTGACTAGAGAACTCTGTCAATCACTATCTTATCTGGAATATTAACTCCCACTTATTCAAGCGATTGTAGTACCCAGACATTCTGAGCACATACTCACTAGTTGAGCTATTCTCCTCTATCTTGTAGGCAAAGTACTTGTCAGAGGTCTCATACCTCTTGACATGGGCATGAGTCTGAAATACTAATTTCAACTCTCGGAACATCTTATATACTCCGTGGCATTCAAAACGTTTTTGAAGTCCGGGTTCTAAGCCGTAAAGCATGGTGCACTAAACTATCAAGTAGTCATCATATCGAGCTTGACAAATTTTCATAATGTCTGCATCCGCTCCTGCAATAGGTCTGTCACCTAGCGGTGCATCAAGGACATAATTCTTCTGTGCAGCAACAAGGATAATCCTCAGATCACGGATGCAGTACGCATCATTGCTACTATCTTCTTTCAACTTAGTTTTCTCTAGGAACATACCAAAAATAAAACAGGGGAGCTATACGCAAGCTATTGATCTATAACATAGATATGCAAATACTATCAAGACTAAGTTCAGGATAAGTTCAATTAATCATATTACTTAAGAACTCCCACTTAGA